TCTCTCTCTCTCTCTCTCTCTCTCTCTCTCTCTCTCTCTCTCTCTGTGTTTCTGTTGTGATGATGGATGAGGCTGCCTGCCATCAGCATTAATCGCAGCTGTTAAACCAAAAACTGAATTAATGGACCTTGGTCAGGGAACGGTCATATCTGAATTAATCTGGTGCATGTTCACTTTTGTCAAAATTAATAGACATGCTGAATGAATGCTAAGTGGAAGGGGTTGGTTAAAGCATGTTCTTGTCTTATCAAATTAGTGTAAAACAGTCAATATAAGATGCTTTAGCAGCGTTATGTTCAGAACTGGAAAACCTCCTTATATTTCATAAACAGCATACAAAAACAGGTGCTGTTTTTAGGTGCTGTGGATTATGGGATTGTGACGGGGCTAAACAGGATTCCGGGAGCTTGTACAACCATACCATTGAACTTCACTGTGTTTAGATTTGTTTTTCTGCATTGGTTGAATTAGTTCCTTTGCTATACGAGACTTAAAGGGGTGTGTGTGATTAGCTGCTGTTTGCGGTGTGATCTTTGTGCAAGTGGAAAACTGCTTTATGGTAATTTTCTCTAAATAAAGGTAGAAGCTGACAAGATGGATGTTGATGATACAAACACACACTGCTCCAGCATTCATTTCAGTCTCACTGAGAGATTATTGTATCAGCTTTGATGTAGATTTGAAGTTCATTTGGGAGCTCTGCATGGCTATAATGTAGATATTTCATGCACATTAATAAAGCTGCTTAAATGGTTGTTTGAATTATAAATAGCGCAACAGTTATGTTCTGAAAATAAAAAAATTACTTTCATTTTCTCCAAAATTTTTAACAGCACTGTTCTCCTTACAAACTGATTATATTTATTATATTATTTTGCAATAAACTTCAAATATATTGTATTTTATATATAAATATATTTGTTTTTTTAATCAAAGGTATACTTTTATTCAGCAAGAATGCATCCATTCTATTTTGATTCTATTCACCAAAGATTCCTGAAAAAATGTCACAGTTTCTTCAAAAATATTAAGCAATAAATCAGTTAAGCAGTTCAATCTACACTGCTAAAAAGAATAAATGTTTCTTGAGCACCAAATCAGCATATTAGGATGACTTCTGAAGGACCATGTGACACTAAAGACTGGAGTAGTTTTTAACATTTGTCTTAAACATTAATATTAAAACATTTATTATTAGTATTATTTCCCTGAATTTAAAGTTTCTTGTGTTGGTTTGGTTTAGACTCTTTATTGAAGATTTATTTTACAATTCCTAAAAACAAGACAAATACTTAGGGAACCAAGGACCCTGAAAAAGTAGGCAATCACTGTTCTGCTCTTACTCTTTCTCATTTTCCCTCTGTTTCTACAGAATGCAGAAGTATCTGTCTTTGAGGTCAACATCCGCTTCATTGGAGGGCTTCTGGCTGCATACTACCTCTCCGGACAGGAGGTACGTTATCATTGCTTATTGATTTTTAGAAGTTTGTGTGTTTCTTCTGTGCTGTTCAGTTTCATAGCTATTTCAGATGAGGGAAGTTTGTGCAGGCAGCCACATAGATGAAGATCTGGACAGAGAGAATTTATCTTAGGGCAGTGATGTTGGCTCAGAGAACTAAGAACAGCTTTTTCAGGGGAAATAAATGTCCCTCTCTCAAGCCCATGTTAATTAACGCTTCCTTTCTGTCTTATCTGTCCATGGACATTAATGGAGAAGGGCACAAATAGTCTCTCTCTCTTTTCCCTCATCACTGGGCAGCGTATCTCTACCACTGCATATCACTGTGTTCTCCTCTTAGTCTGAAGGTGAAAATGCAAAGGAATTAAGCTGCAGCCATGCAGCACGGCCTCATTGCCGCTCCACACACTTCATGAGATGAGTTTAGATACTGGACGTGGAACTCGCCACACTTGCATACAAAGTCATGCCTGCCTCTCTGTCCCAAGTGACCTTTTGTTCCTTCAGTACAGTGTTTTGACACGCCTGGGTGTCAGGCCTCAGTCCCCAGTACAGTTACACTGTGTTTGTCCTGCATGTGTGCTGTCATAGACATGCAGTACAGCATTGGCTGAATGTTGGAGGCAGAGTGTCCAATTTACTAGTACTTGTATTGCCACTGGCAAACATGGAGAGAAGTGATCAGATTAAATAAATTGTTTCAAGAATCATTAAATAACATCTGGATTAACTGTGCATTTATATCTTGTAATTACATCTAGTCGCCATAAGGCCTCTAGTATGCTGTGGACGGCTATATCCAAAAATGTGCCCAAATTTGAGCAACAACATTTACAGAGATCAGAATCAAAGCAAGCATTGATGTTACGAGAGACACTGTAATGTTGGTATAGCTTAAACACTGCTGAGCAGATAAAATAGGAGTGTTTTTTTTTTATTATTATAATTTTTTCACCTTTTGTTCTTTACTGTAGTTTTTGAGTACCTATTTTAGGGAATATTACAGATTTTTATCTCTGTATTGGTCAATATTGTATATTTAATTTTAGGGCTGCAACAACTAATCGATAAAATCGATTATTATCGATAATGAAAATAATCGACAACGATTCTCATTATTGATTAGTCGGGTCTGCCCACAGTGCACGTCCAACTTCAGCTGGTCGCGTCAAATTACAGCACTGAATTACAAAATGCATCTAAAAATAGTGGAGGAAACAGAATGAGATGCTGCGGGAGAAGTATGTGAACCAAGCTGCCTAAAACATGAGAATTGTTTATTTTAAGATTTAAACTAACTTAATGCATTAGCGTAGGCTAATGGCTTGCCCTGTCAGGCAGTTTGACAGATGCGTGTGCGTCCTCAGCGCAAAAACTTTCAGTTTACGGTCATATCCTTAACTGTAAATGTCACAAATTCACGAAAGCATTTCCATTTTTGCATAAAGGCCGGCCCTGACAATCTGCGTTAAGTTTAAATCTGAATAAGCGCGCATGCGGACAGAGGGAGACAATTAATATTCAGCGCAAAACATTAACTGTGCTGAAATATCTGTTGTTGAACGTTAAATTTAGGTTTAAAAGTCAACATGTAGTGCACGCATTTTATGAGAGTAGGAACCGATAACAGCGTGTAATTGTCTGAATATAAATATCAGACGCTTCATAACCGTCTTTTATAGGATAAAGAAATGACAGGAAGACGTGACTGTGATCAAAGTGAACGTGTGTTCCTGCAGAACATTACTCTCACCTGTTGGTCAACACGGAGTTTGTGATTTTATTCGTCTTTATTATCTTTATTATTATTTTAATTTTTAATATAGAGATTTAAACTATATTCACTATACAGTACTAAATTTATTAAAACAACATTTATGTAAGGTTTTTAACAAACTAGTTTAGGTTTGTGCCACTGCTGCTCTAAACTAACAGTATTGGTGATTACCAATCATTTTTAGCTTTCTGTATAGGTTAGTCCTCCAATTTGTGTAAGCTCTTTAGTAACATTAGGCTATTTCTAATGCTGTAATATGATTATTGCTGTTGTCTATGAAAGAAAGGCAGAAAAAATAGTCAAGCACTTTATAGTGTTTTTTCCAGATGCCCAATTACAGTCAAAAAGTACCTAAACAATGGCAGCAAGAATGCAAGCTGTTATGAAAGGCATAGGAGGCCATTTTTGTTATTATGTGAATAAATACTATTTATTTGTTTCAGTTTGTTATTTTATGACATTAACATTTTTAGATTTAAACAATTTTTTTGACAGATTCCTAAAATATTTGTGTTTTCTCTTTATTATGACAGGTGGTCTAATAAATTAAGCACTGTATGTTTTCATAGCATTCAGTTGGCACGTTCGTTTGAAGGACATTGGGCAGAATGTGGAATAGTGTGTTTTGTCAATAAAACAAACAAAAAAGAAAATTGGGCTTTTTTATCGGATTAATCGAAAAAATTATCGGCCAACTATCGATTACCAAAATAATCGTTAGTTGCAGCCCTATTTAATTTTTTACATTTATACTATCTTTGCCATCATTGAAACTACTCATTGAAACAATTAATCATTAAAAGCACTAATATTTTAAAATAGCACTGTTGAATGTAATCTTTGGCAACCTCAAAATGAATATACATGTTTTATACTGTATGTTACAATGTTGTGATGCATACATTTACTTCAAGCATTTAAAATGATTAATATTAGTTTGTAGTATTTTATTCTTAATTTACTAATTAGGTATAGTATTTTAATATTGGCCATTTATTGGTTATCGGTTGTAACAATTATCTGCTTTTCGTTATCACCCAGAACTACCTTTTACTTTGAAGACTTAATTCCTTACAGTAGTTTGAGTCACTTTTTCATAAAGATGTGCATACTCTCCTGGTAGATACAGTAACTTCAGCATTATGGGAACCGAAGCATCTGACGGCTTTTCAAAAGCCTTTTCGAAAGCACTGAGTGCCTGCCCATGAGCAAAGATGACAGATCTGAAATTGCTTTCTCCCAGGGGATCACGTAACAGCCAAGCGGTTGCCATTGAGATGTATAGGGATGCTAATGAAAAACTTTCTCCAGGTGTTATACTCTACATCTCCTTGGTGCAGGCAGAGTTTCTCTATATACAGGTGCATCTCAATAAATTAGAATGTCGTGGAAAAGTTCACTTATTTCAGTCATTCAACTCAAATTGTGAAACTCGTGTATTAAATCAATTCAGTGCACACAGACTGAAGTAGTTTAAGTCTTTGGTTCTTTTAATTGTGATGATTTTGGCTCACATTTAACAAAAACCCACCAATTCACTATCTCAACAAATATGCAGTGGAGGTAGCGTGGAGCAAAGAGTAGAGGCACTGACTGAAGGCAGAGTGTCATAGATTGAAAAGCCATGTCACTTTAATAAGAGATTTTTTCAGGCATGATGGAGAAATCCACTGGGGGTGGAGGGAATGAAAGAGGGTCCAGAGTAGAGAGAGCTGTGTACTGGACTGATGTGCAGCTGGTTTTTCTGGAGAAGAGCATCTGATCTGAAGAAGACCGAAGACTCCATACTTTTATCAGCTCTGGAGGTTATCTCTCCTGTGCAAGACCACATCCTCCATTCAATCTCTCTCTCTCTCTCTCTCTCTCTCTCTCTCCCCTATCAGTGATGGATGATGTTTACTCTGCTGTTCCTCTGTCCTCTCTTCCACTGTCTTTTGGTCCTCTTGTCTTCTCTTTTATACTTTCCTTTCATCTATCTTTCTTTCTCAGTCTTTCTCCCTTGTTCTTTAGATCCTCTCACCCCTGCATCTCTTGGCAGTGTTGTTTCTTGATGGCAGTGAAGAGATTAATTTAGATCTAAAGCAGCAAGGGGCCAGGGTTTGGATGGCTAGTTTGCTTTATGCTGTATGTGAAGCCAAAAGCCAAAGTCTGCTTCTTCATTGACAGCCATTCAAAAGTAGTTTTTAATGTAGTTATATATAAATATATATATATATATATATATATATATATTATATTATATTATATATATCTTATAAACAAGTACAAATGATAAACTTTCACTCTATTATGGTTAAATTTTGCAATTAATCCCCGGATCACATGCGTGAACTGTGGGGCCTGGTCCGTACGGATCACGGATCAACTGTGATCCGTTCGACCCCTAGTGTGTTCTTTTCGGAGAATTGTTTTTTCTATCTTTTTTCTTTGCAATGTTTTGTTTTATTTTTTCTTATGCACTCATATTTTATGCCCGCAAATAAAGGGCCTTCACATAGTCACATATGGAACTTTTATTTAATAATAATTTATTATTATTATTATTAGGTAAATAATTTGTCTTATTTATTATTTGAATTTTTTTGGTATTATTTTATTTTTTATTACATTGTATAGTTTACCATTCGATATTTGAAGCACTTGTTCCCTTTATGGTCATAAAAAGTGACTGGCTCAATAACTGTTTTGAATAACTCTTTCTAAATACTTCCTGGAATGTTTTTTTTTAATAGATTTCATTTTCCTTCTGAGGTTAAGACCCTCATAGCATTTTCCAGGTACCTCACCAGCAAGCTAGCAATTTTAGATGACTGACATGTAGATCTCATGTCTAATAGTAATTTTACAGTAGATTTAGACAGCGCTTTGCTTCTTTTCTTTGAAAGACAAATCCAGATTCAATCAAATCTAATTAGGGCCCGAGCACCGCGGTGCGAGGACCCTCTTGGAATTGCTCCGTTTATTGTCAAATATAATTTCTTTGCCTTTTGCTCCTGCAGATGCTCAGACATTTTGGCGTTCTTTGTGAGATGGTTCAATTACTGTGTGTTTGACAGCCAAATTACTGTATGAATCATTAGATTTCTCCAAACGCAGTGCTGACAGAGGTTTTATTTCTTAAGATTCCTTCAAGCCATATAAGATCATAGGCTGTAAGTTAACAACACAGGCAAATATTTGTTCTTTGCCTTGATTTGCACATTTATTACACGCAGAG